TAGTGCCGCTTTGCTTGATTCTTGACGGGTCTATCCCCATCTTACGGACAGTGTCCTGATATATCAGATTGAGACTACTGCCGCCGTCCATGAGGACTCGGGTGAGGTGGTATCCGTCAATTATTGGGTCAAGCACTAAGGCAGCCAAACCCCCATGACGGATACTAGTCGGATGATCCCTGCGATCGAAGGTGATCGAACAGGACGACCATGGGTTGAATTTGGCGGCGACGGGCTCTATAGCATATATGTCTCGGAGTGCGCGCATGAGCTCCCTCTTTGGGATATGAGTGACATAAATCATGTTCACTATTTTGACCTCCGGTGGAAATTTCTTCTGTCCCCCCATATTCGGCTGGCGAGATTTGTCCTCGTCTTCGCTTTGCGGTCCTTTCCCTTTGTGTTCGGTGTTGAGCTTGCCGGCCTGCTTGAAGACCCAACATTCTCTGTTGGTATGATTAGGTGGTTTGGGGGTGCCATGAATCTGGCAGGACCTGTCTAGAATTTTATCTAGGCTAGATGGACCATCTCTGCTGCCTTTAAGTGACTTTTTCCGTTGACCGGGTCTAGAGCCCCTGAATCCAACGTTTACCGCTGTATTGTCTGGGCTTTCTTCATTGTTTCGACGTTTGTTTTTACTGTGTCGTGGTTTTCCATTGCCATCCCTGACTTCGGATGTGCCAGGATCGCTGGTGCTGCTACGGGCCAACCAGTTGTCCTCTCCCGCGCAAAAGCGGGTCATGAGTATAGTTAGGGCTGTCATTGTCTTTGGTTTTTCCTGGCCTAGGTGTCTGGCTAGCCATTCGTCCCGGACGCTGTGTTTGAAAGCTGCTAAGGCTTCGGTGTCCGGACAGTCGATGATTTGGTTCTTCTTGGTGAGAAATCGGTTCCAAAAGCTTACGGGATGACTCTCCGGGTTGTTGGGTTATGTGACTTAGATCGTCTGCATCCGGAGGTCGGACATAGGTCCCTTGGAAATTGGACCTGAAAGCATCCTCAAGTTCTTCCCAACTTCCAATGGAATTTCTGGGAAGGCTTTTCAACCAGTGCCGAGTTGGTCCTTTTAGCTTGAGGGGTAGGTATTTGATGGCGTGGAGACCATCTCCGCGAGCCATGTGAATGTGAAGAATAAAGTCTTCTATCCAGACCGCAGGGTCTGTCGTTCCGTCGTATGCCTCGATATTCACGGGTTTAAACCCTTCTAGAAATTCATGATCCAGCACCTCATCGGTGAAGCACAGGGGGTGTGCGGCACCCCTGTATTCGGCTGTGTCGCGGCGTGGGTCCGACGGTTGTAATGTTCGGTGTTGGTTCTGAACTGGTAAGTGACTGGCATATTTGGTTTGATGGCCCTGATCCTGTGCGGGAAAACGTTCCCTGGATCCATAGATGGACCTGGTTCTGCCAGCCTTTTTGTCCAGGTCTTCACGTAAATCGTGTTTCTGGTTCTGGTTTGCGACCTCCTTTCCTTTATGGGGAGGGGGTGCGGGTTTGTGTGCGGCGTTGTTAGCCGCTCTGTCTCGACCACGAGGTGGTCGGCCTGGTTGATCGGTCGTATTGTTATTCGGCGGTATGGGCGCGATAGTATCATCGTTGAATTCGGGCAGCAATTTGCGTTTGGGGTAGCTCTTTGTTTGACGATTACCGCCGTATTTTTCCTCAGTGTCGAGCACTTCACTCCATTTATCATTGAGTATATCATGTGTGGTTTTAAGCCGTTGCTTCTGCTTCTTCAAGCTCCTCGTGGTGGTGATAAGTCTCTGGTGGAGGTGTTCTTGTTCCAATTGTTTTTCCGGGACGATGAATGCATCGTCATCCAGACTGATCTCCTCTTTGGAGACAGGTTGATAATTGGAGTCTTCGACATCGCTATGATCGGACAGGGGCCCCGAACTGTGTTCGCCGTCACCTTGCTCGTCTTGCTCCATTGCTGGGTCTACGGGGTCTTCATTGTCTTCATCATCGTCCAGGGTGTTATTCCCTCTTGTGCCGGTATCGCTGTTTTTACTATGGAGAGGTTTAGAGCGGCGCCGCTGACGTTGGTGCTTTGGCTGCTTCTCAGGAGGTTTATCCTCAACTGGATCCTTTTTGTCATCGCCATTGTCTTCATTGGGTGTATCCACCATGTATATGTCGTATGAGGAGGTGGTTGTCCAGCGCCCTGTGGGCGGTGGTTTCTGTTCTTCTCCGGCATCGTCGTCATACCGTCGATGTCTCCGGAGTCGAAATCAAGCATGTCGGTCAAATCGTCGACAATGGCTATCAAGTGGGTGGTGGGTGGGTAACGAAGTTCTTCGTCGTTCGCTTCCCACTCAAGCCGGACATAGTTCGGCCAAGAATCTCCTGACAAGGAGAGAGACTTTAATGAGTTTCACACATCACCTAGGGGTGAGTGTTGGAAGATGTCCGCGGAGCTGAACTCTAAGATCGGCGCCCGATCAGATTCGATGGGTGCGGATACACGCGGTTCGGAGCCTATGGCCGGAGACGAGTCCGAGGTTCCGATGACAGAGGCCTCGTTGGAGGTCGGATTTGTGTTTGGCTCTAGCACCGCTGAGTCTGCGGCTTCCATGGCGAGGTTGAGCTTCCCGTCCTTGGATGGCGCACTCTGCTCTGGATCTAGGGCCAGAGCGGTTACAGGCACTATCTCCTGAGCATAGTCCGATGCCAGATTTAGGTCATGCTCATCATGGCGGCAGGGTGCGGCTGTCGTGGGTTCGAATTTGTCGAAGATCAAATCTCCACGGACGTCGACGGTGTAGTTCAAGCCTCCATACCTGACCTGATGGCCAGGGGCGTAGTTGTCGATCTGCTCCAGATGGCCAAACAAGTTGGCCCGCAGTGCGAAGCCGCCGAATACGAAGATCCGTTCGGAGGGGATGACCTCACCTTGGACTGCGTTGTTATGGATGATTGAAGGAGCCATCAAGCCTTACGGTGACGACACGGTGGAACTCTCAATGAAAGCACCAATGTCGGTGTCAAAACCGGCGGATCTCAGGTAGGGGGTCCCGAACTGTGCGTCTAAGGCTAATGGTAACAGGAGGCGGGGGACACAATGTTTACCCAGGTTCGAGCCCTGTCGATGGAGGTAATACCCTACTTCCTGCTTGATTGATCTTGATGATATGAGTATTACAAGAGTTGATCTACCACGAGATCGTAGAGGCTAAACCCTAGAAGCTAGCCTATGATTATCATTGTTGTTGTCCTACGGACTAAACCCTCTGGTTTATATAGACACCGGAGGGGGCTAGGGTTACATAGAGTCGATTACAGAGAAAGGAATCTTTCATATTTGAATCGCCAAGCTTGCCTTCCACGCAAAGGAGAGTCCCATCCAGACACGTGACGAAGTCTTCTATCTTGTATCTTCATATCCCAACAGTCCAGCATATGCATATAGTCCGGCTGTCCGAGGACCCCTTAATCCAGGACTCCCTCAATTCCCATTACAACTCTAGCGTCACCAAACCTTAAGTGTGTAGACCCTACCAGTTCAGGAACCATGCAGACATGACCGAGATACCTCTCCGGCCAATAACCAATAGCGGGGTATGGATACCCATATTGGCTCCCACATGTTCCACGATGATCTCATCGGATGAACCACGATGTTGGGGATTCAATCAATCCCGTATACGATTTTCTTTGTCCATCGGTATGTTACTTGCCCGAAATTCGATCGTCGGTATCTCCATACCTTGTTCAATCTCGTTACCGGCAAGTCTCTTTACTCGTTCCATAACACATGATCCCGTGACTAACTCTTAGTCACATTGAGCTCATTCTGATGATGCATTACCGAGTGGGCCCAGAGATACCTCTCCGTCATACGGAGTGACAAATCCCAGTGTCGTTTCATGCCAACCCAATGGATACTTTCAGAGATACCTATAGTGCACATTTATAGTCACCCAGTTACGTTGTGACGTTTGATACACCCAAAGCATTCCTACGGTATCCGGGAGTTGCACAATCTCATGGTCTAAGAAAATGTTACTTGACATTAGAAAAGCTCTAGCAAATGAACTACACGATCTTGTGCTTTGCTTAGGATTGGGTCTTGTTCATCACATCATTCTGCTAATGATGTGATCCCGTTATCAACAACATCCAATGTCCATGGTCAGGAAACCACAACCATCTATTGATCAACGAACTACTCAACTAGAGGCTTACTAGGGAAATATTATGGTCTATGTATTCACACATGTATTACGGTTTTAGGTTAATACAATAATAGCATGAACAATAGACAATTATCATGAATAAGGAAATATGATAATAAAAATTTTATTATTGCCTCCAGGGCATATTTCCATTACGATAACATAATTTTTGTGACATATAGTTTACATTTTGTTAGTTAAAATTTTAAGTCAAACTTTAGCCCAAAATAAGAGGGGGCCTAATAAACCCGAAGGGAGGTAGTAAATCTAAGACTTGAATATGAGCGATTTGGTTCCATCACTTTAATATATTACTTTGCTGGGGGCTTCAGAAAATTGATATATTACTTCGTACGGTTTTTATGAATAATTAATAAAGTAGTTACATGCATCTTTCAGAAGCCGGGGTCATCTTTTCAGAAAGAAAATTCACAAAGACTCGGTTCGCAAAAATAAACAAAAAAAAACTGATCCATGCCATGGTAGATGCAACAAAAATGCGAAAGTAGCAACACTTATTTTTTATGAGTATGTGAACTTAGCGCCTGCCTCCTTATGTATAGTTTTTTTTTAGTGAGTTAGTGACTGAAAGAAATAATATTTTTCAGCCAACTTATGGACGAACACTCACGATAAATCCCAGTACATTTTCTCTCTCGATGAATTGAGCTTGAACAGTCGAGCGACGACATGGGTAATAAGAGTAAAACAAAGCAAACACCTAAATCCTCCCAAAATTGTTTATCTTACAATCTGACATGACAGCCAGTAGATACAAACTTCTTTGTACAAAAACATCCAAAGATGACACATCCATAGAACAACCCGCTATCCGCCGCCGCCGGAGAAGACAACCTCCACAACCGCAGCGATCATCGCCGTCGGGTCCCCAAAGATCACGCCGATGACGACGCGAGCGAAGAATCCGACAATCTTAAGGAAACGTTTGAAGCGCTTGGTGCTAGTCTGAGCCTTCTTCAGCGCCAGCGCCACCTTCAAAGACGGGGCTTTATTCGCTTGCACGACCATCTTCCCGCCGCCCTCATGGCTGCCGTGGCCGGACTTGAGGCTCTCGTAAGCCATCTCCTTCACGCAGGCCACGTGCAGGTAAACGGCCTCGCCGTCCCACTCAGAGCGATACGACAAGAACTTGCGCCGGCAGCGGCGCCCCTTGCAGAGGACGCAGCTCCGGCTCGGCACGTGGTCGCGGCAGAGCTCGAAGGTGAGGCCGTCGAGGTCGACGCTCTGAGGCAGGCGCGCGCAGGACGGGTGGAGGTCGAGGTCGCGGTCGAAGCAGTGGTACACGAGGCCGAGCACCTTCTCGCCGCACGCGTCGCAGACCCTGTGGTCAGCGGGGTCGGGAGGCGGGGGCTCGTGGAGGAGCACGAACGCGCACCCCTCGAACAACAGAGGGATCTCCAGCACGTCCGGCGCGAGCGCGCAGCCGATGTGGAGGTCGAAGCCGCAGTCGCGGTGCTGCTGCTGCTCGCCGTAGTGCTCGCAGGTGTACCTCCCGCCGGCCCACCTCTCCTTGCAGCCGTCGCACCTGAACTCCACGTCATCGGTGGTGACAAGCAGCAGCTTGTGCTCAGGATGGATGGGGTGGGAGGCGATCTCAGCCGGCGGCGCCGGAGGAGCGCTCACGATACTCTTCTTGATCTTCATGGTTCTCGCCGGCCGGCAAATGTCTGGACTCTCTGGGCAAAGCGAATGCCGGGCACTTCTATTTATAGAGTTTCCAGGAGTGGCGCGCAAGTCCACGCTCCCAAGCAACCACTGGCGCTGCGGGGAAATTCATGGCTAAGTTAGCGTACTGCCCCAGTTGGCCAGTTCGAGGGAAATTCCAACAAGTTAGCGTACTGTCCTAACCGGCAAAAAGGCGTCGAATGGTCGGCGGCGTCTCCTAAACGCGTGTTGACGTCTTGCTGGCCAACCGATCTCGATCCTACGCAGCAGACCGTAACCATGACAGTTTTTAACTAACACGCCCGTACACGCCCAACCCACTCTCTTCGGTCCATTGTTCATTTGTCAATCATCTTTTTTTTAATCCTATGTAAACTAATGTAAGAGCGTTTAGATCACTGAAGTCTTATATTAGTTTACAAAGAAAGTATGATTAATTTTTTTAAAAATTGATTCTTTTTTCTTTGTGAGAAAAACTTTCAAGCTACTCATCAACTGTCAAGGTGGTAAAAAAACACTAGAAGAAAAAAATACATCCAAGTTCGTAGACCATCCAGCGATGACTGCAAGCAATGGAACGAGCCGAAGGCATGCCGTCGTCATCGCTCCTTCCTTATCGGAGGACAGACAAACCTTGTTGTAGTAATGCAACATCATTTTTTTTATTGTGCATGTGTTCGTTTACAATATCAGATGATTTTCTTGTGTTTTTTTGCCCCCTAAATATTCTTCTGATTTAGATTGTTTGTTTGACATATTGGCCTCAACGGCGACTACGACAACGCAGAACAAAGAAGTTGTAGTTCCTTATCTAATAACGAGGCGTTCTGCTCTATGGTCGGTGATGGATTTGGCCATTTGGGTGTCTATTCAAGGCTTCAAACAAGGACAAGGTAGCGGGAGCAATATTCTTGTGGTGGGCTTGTGACATCAGGCTTCCCCTTTACGACCGTGTTCGCTCGGCGTTGGCGCAAAGCACAGGAGGTTTAGGAGCCAGTACAGACGGCAATCTACATTGGCGGTAGCTGGAAGGTAGTGAATCATGGTAGAAGGCTGACACGTCAGGTTTCCTCCTTCGATGTCGTTGGGGGGTGCTAGACTTGGAGTTTGATGGCGTGTTCGGGTTGTTGCCATTACTAGATTCTTTAAATGGCAATGGCTACATCTTTACCGAGCTACTTTGGAGATATGAAAAATTGCAGATCAATGATGGAGCCACATCGAGCTCACGTCAAAAGTGGTTATGTCCCCTTTTTTGGGTAGCCATTGTGGTGGTGCCGGAGGCGAGTGACGAATGTTGGCATCTAGCTCAGGGGATTCTTCGGTCTTGACTGTAATTTTCTTTCTTGACTGAGGTTCTTCTAGGCTATTGCAAGGGTTCTATTGTCTTTCTGGTTTTAGCAGGTTGGTATCTATGGTTGTACCTTACTCCTGTTTATGAATAAGGCATATGTTACCTTCAAAAAAGTGTCAACTTATACATATCTTACATGAAAGTCAAAACAAATGAATAAATTATTCAGATCAAAATATAGGTATCAAAGCGGATTCTAACCTCAACAAAAGCAAATTGCAATGTAAGAGTTTTTTGTTTGAAAGAAAGGTGTTTCCTCGCCCCAACTTTCATAAAGAAGAGGCAAACAACCAACCATACATCGTTCAAACAACTCTTGAACACAATCGGAAGTAGTTGGGACGAAAATTAGTACTAACAGTGTGAAAACCGTCAGATCCCTCAGCGAGGTATCGGAGGAGCATGTTGGGGAACGTAGCATGCAATTTCAAAAAACTTCCTATGATCACGTAAGATTTATCTAGGAGATGCATAGAAACGAGAGGGGGAGAGTGTGTCCACGTACGCTCGTAGACCGAAAGCGGAAGCATTAGTTTAACGCGGTTGATGTGGGGACCGATTCTCCGGGTATTAATTTCCAGAAAATGGCCCTTGTGCTCACCAGCCCCAGGATAACTGTTAGCTGATGAGGCACCAACTTGATACAAAAATTCCAAGCAAAATACAACATATGTAGTACAAGACCATTCTGGCCTATGAGTACAACAAATGGTTTCTAATGATCAGTGGCGGAAGCGGTTTGTGGATCATCACTGTCTTTGGGACTCCATTTTCCACAGGAACAGCTGACCAGGTTAACTCCTCTCTTCGCGAGGCTGCTATCTCCGTTGCTTAGGTTCCGGGACTGTCGGCACGGTCGCTCCTCTCCGCGCAAGAAAAATCTGGCCAAGACAATAACCAGGGACAAGCCAGTGAGTACTTTGAATGTACTCGCAAACATTATGAACACAGGTATAATATAACAATGATGTGCTGTAAATATTTTATGCTCATGACGTCAGTCACAAAAGATAAATAAAACTCTGATGTGTGCAAGCATGCTATTTATGAATATGCAATAACATAGTAGTATTAAAATTATGAAATAAGTAACAACATGCCACAGTCGGGCGTCTTAGCGACACCACATAAAGGGTTTAAAAGAAATGCCGCAGTCGGGCGTCTTAGCGACACCAGATAAAGGGCTTTAAAAGAAATGCCACAGTCGGACGTCTTAGCGACACCACATAAAGGGCTTTAAAAGAAATGCCACAGTCGGGCATCTTA